CTCTACATCGGGGAAACCAAGCGGAGGCTCGGGGACCGCTTTGCAGAACACCTACGCTCGGTTCGCAATAAACAACTGCACCTCCCAGTCGCGAACCATTTCAACTCCCCCTCCCATTCCTCAGACGACATGTCCATCCTGGGCCTCCTGCAGTGCCACAATGATGCCACCCGAAGGTTGCAGGAACAGCAACTCATATTCCGCTTGGGAACTCTGCAGCCCAATGGTATCAATGTGGATTTCACAAGTTTCAAAATCTCCCCTCCCCCTACCGCATCCCAAAACCAGTCCAGCTCGTCCCTGCCTCCCTAACCTGTTCTTCCTCCCACCTATCCCCTCCTCCCACCTCAAGCCGCACCTCCATCTCCTACCGACCAACCTCATCCCGCCCCCTTGACCTGTCCGTCCTCCCTGGACTGACCTATCCCCTCCCTAACTCCCCACCTACACTCACCTTTACTGGCTCCATCCCCGCCTCTTCGACCTGTTTGTTTCCTCTTCACCTATCCTCTCCTCTATCCATCTTCTATCCGCCTCCCACTCTCTCCCTATTTATTTCGGAATCCCCTTCCCCTCCCCCTTTTCTGATGAAAGGTCTAGGCCCGAAACGTCAGCCTCTCTGCTCCTATGATGCTGCTTGGCCTGCTGTGTTCATCCAGCTCTACACCTTGTTGTCTCGGATTCTCCAGCATCTGCAGTTCTTACTACCTCGTTAATTCTTGTTGGTGCCAGTTCCCACTTTCTCTTTTAGACGCTGCATAACCAGGGAACAAACCAGTAACTAATCCATATGAAGTGGACGAGCTGTTCTAATGTCATTTTCCCCGCTTCTATACGTGAATTTACCACTGGCGTCCGACTGCAGTCTGGAGTAAATTAATTTGCAATCGCTCCAGCTCTGTTTTGTGATGGGGTACCTGTTGCTCCACACTTCAGTTTAATGATTCTGAGCTGCATTGTCTTGAGGCAGAGACATTTCTTGCAGATGTGGCAGTCTGTGCTCATCTTGTTGCCCACAAACTCCCATATGCTGCACAGTTGTGCCTTACTAATTCGTTCATTTCTTAATTTTCTGTCATATGTTCCTGGAATAATTAATTACTCAATTGTTTAATTTGTTAAGTATCTATCATATGTTCCTTAATTCCTTACTTCAGGTTTATATTTATTAAATAGATGGAACTAACTAGATGTGAAATAAACTAGAATTTTGTTGCTGTGAGTAATTATTTGCATATTTTTAACTTGATTATGAATGTCTTTCAGTCCAATTAGAATTGAATCAGTTTCTTTGGCTTCAGCTTCCATGTACCAATATTAAATTCTTACTGAGTCAGGCAGAATACTAACTTGTAAAGATAGCAAACACAGAAAGGGATATATATTGAAGTAAACCTGTTAGCTAAAAGCGAGAGAGACAGCAATTAACATATAGTTAGTTGAAGATGAGAATTGATAATAAATAAAAGTCTTGCCACAAAAAGAAATATTTATCTTATATACACTATCCAATACAGAGATCGTCAGAACAGTAGCCAATAGCAAAAAGAAACATCATGGCAACAATTAGGGCAATGGTAGGATACAACAAAACTGGATTTTTGGGAAGAGTTGTTATTGAGATGTGTTCTTGGCACTGCAGTATATTTAACGCTAACATTTTGTTTCCAAAGTATTCTATGAGTAAGCTTCAGAGAACTGTCTGTTTTCCTGCAGCCTACACTCATGGACTCCATCCCACTTACTGTTTGCTCAGTAGTTTGGCTTTCAGACACATCCCATCTGCATTCGAATGAGGCAAAGTGGGACGGTGCTTGCTTGAACCCCCACACTTCATGTTCAGTATCTGCCAAGGGAGGTTTAACGTACAATTGCACTCACCACCTGGAAAGCTAAAGTAAGCAAAGACGTGTTTGCAACCACAAAGCACCTTTCATGAGGTCAGAACGTCCCAATAGTATGTTACAGCCGCAATGAAGCATCCCCACTTGTTGTACTGTTGTAATGAAACACGGCAGAGTTTCCTCTGGTTGGAGATTCCAGAATGAGGCGGCATAGTCTAAAAATTAGTTCAGATCATTTAGGACAGATGTCAGGAAGCACTTCTACACACAAAGGTAGAAGTTTGGAACTCTGTTCCCCAAGTGGCAGTTGATGTTAGATCCGTTGTTAATTTTTAATGAGACAGATTGATTTCCTGTAAAGCAAGGGCATTAAGAGATGTGGGCCAAAGGCAAATATATGGAGTTAGGCCACAGATCAGCCACGATCTCACAGAGTGGCGGGACAGGCTGAAAGCCCTAATGCCATTCCTACTGTTTGCACAGCAAGATCCCACAATGAGATTGATGATCTGTTTCAGTAAGGTCAGACGAGGGGGAAAAAAATTCGTTGGGATACAGGAGGAAACGGTGGATGTTGAGGCCAGCTAAGAAGGCAGACAGGACTTCACTTTCACACAGCATCTCGGACAGTCCCACTGTGCACCACCCTCCCTCAGTCAACAGAGGAATGTCCACTCAGAATTTGTACGAGGTAGCTGGAGGGAGGGGGTGAGGGGAAGTTGAACCCACAATCTCCTGATCCAAAAGACAAAAATGTTACCTTTGGGGTCGGAATTGATGCAAACGTCGTGGTGCAACATTGCTATTCCAAAACCGAAACAGAAAAACATGTTACAATTTGCTGTGACTACTTTCGAATCCTACAAGTGAAGCAAATCCTGCTGGTCGACACACATTTGAATAGAACTTATTTTACAATATGACTGTGCACAGCTGATAACAGTTTATCCATACTTTCCGAGAACTGTTTAGAATCACAATTTTGCTTTTTTTTTCTGTTTCAGCAGGATCTATAATACAGGTATTTAAGGTACTGAGAGGTATTGAGTGGGTAGATGTAAAGAAGACATTTCCACTTGTAGGGGAGAGCAGAACTTGTGACTATAAATAAAAGATCATCATCAATAATTCCAACACAGGTTTAAGAAAAAATTGTTTTACCCAGACAGTGGTCCAAACCTGGAGCTCACTGCCCTGATCAAATTAATGGCCTGAGATCTTTTATAAGCAAATGAGAGGTCAGGCAGGATACCTTATCAAAAAAAAGGCTGCACTTCTAACAGTGCAGAACTCCCTCAGTACTGGAGCATCAGCATTGAATTTTGCGCTGTGGTCTCAAAGTGAGGCTTGAACTAAGAATGCTCAAACCTTGAACAAAGGGTGCTACTAGCTGTGCTACCGTTAATCAGATTGGGAAACACTCGCTAAGTAAGAGGGAGAAATGGCTAGAATGTACTGTTCACTGGGACAGGTGAAGAGAGGTGGGAAGAAGTTCGTGTGGGCATAAATGCTGACATAGACTGGTTGCAGGACCTATTTGGAAGACCACTTCTTTATAATCAAATAAGGATTATAGACTCAGTAGTGCTAACAACACATCAATAGATTCCCCATTCTCCCAGGGAAAGAAAATGGAAGAAATTGAGATAATTCGACTCATCCTGTCCATGTCAGCACTTTGAAAGTGTTATCTAAGCAGACCCCTCCCCTACTCATTTCCCACAGCTCCGTACTTTTATTTTCCCCCTTACTATCCACCCAACGCCCTTTTGAAAATTAAATCTGTTTCTGGAAAGGGTGTAAGGACTGGCTAAAGAAAGAAAAACACCCCCCTTCAAACTCTCGTTCTTTTCCCTTTTCGATCTTAAATCCACATTCTCCGATTATTGACCACCCTGTGGTGCCAGCCTGTGCAAATACGTTTAGTCATGCAGGGCCGGTGATGGGGTCCATTAGAATTGGCACACACAGACACAAAGTAATATAGCCCGTTTAAACGTAAATCCACATACTTTCAAGAGTACACTGCAAGAGAAACAGCCAACACTGATGGGTGTGTCCCTCAAGGGCTGGTGGGGTGGGGGTATAGAAAGGGGGCTCTCGAGGTTGAATTCTTGTAGATCAACTATGACATTTTTCACATTAATTTTGCCAACTTGTGGCTAGGTGGGCTTCAAATGTGTTTGCAAACTCTAAGCTGGGAGAGCAGCATGTATGAATCGTGGTGAACGACCCTATAGGAGTAAGGCAGTTGCTTGGCTGGATCACACAACCATATGGGGACCACATCCCTAGTTCCTGCTTAGGACCAGCCTACTTCATAGTTGATCTGTGTCTGAGGGAAAGACACACAGGCTTCAACCTCCTGTTCCCAGCCTCTTTCCCACTGCCCTGTTCTCTTTCTCTCTGTCTGTCTGCAAAAAGCTCTCCCTCAGTCCCCGTGTGCTGAGCACACAACAGAGGTGGGGGAAGCCATGGCTTTGAAAATATTATTTCTCCTGCTGAAGATTTTCTCCTCATGGAACCTTTTACTGGCACAACAGGACAACGGATATCACTCAGGTGGGTGCTTTGCCGTCCCTGTCACGGCGAAGTTTTCAACTGTTTCTGCAGAAACAGTTTTTTTGTTTGCTTTCAGTTGCATAATTTACGGCTTGCGGGATCAGTCTGAAGCACTTGATGCAGAATTAATTGAAATGCGCAACTTTTAACTGGAAACCTGGACTTCGAGTGTGTGTCAACAATAAACATTGTAAGACACGGTGCTGCTGTCTTGTGTCCGCTATTCTCTCCACTTTGCATTCTTATTCCTGGGACCCTAGTCCTGTGCGAAACAGAACAGTCAAGTTTGAGGAGAAGATTGTTGCTTATGTCTTAAGAGGGTGCTAATTCGTTTGCAAGTTTGAAGCAAAGCAGTTTTCCTGAGCCTTTTGCACGGATGGCAGCTTTAAGCCTAGCCTTGATAATGTTCGAAGTGTCTGATAACTGCTCTCATTTCCTTCGTTTTCACAGATTGCCCTGTCGACCTATTTTTTGTGCTGGACACATCCGAGAGTGTCGCTTTAAGAGTTCAGCCTTACGGCTCCCTCGTAGATCTTGTCAAGAAGTTCACCACAAATTTCGTCGACAAGCTGGAAAACTGGTAATAACTGACTGAACTCTTTGCTGTTTAAGACTATCTTCTCAGTCTAAGCATCTGCAATTTGAACGAGAACAGTGAGGAGATACTACTTGTAATTCCCTGATCCTCTGAAGGTGGCGCTAGAGGTTGGGTGAGAATGGCTATCTCCACTTGAATTGGTTCTGTCCCCAGATGTTTTACAAAAAAATACCAATATATACATAACCCAATTGGGATCTCTCTCTCTCCTTTGTGTTGCTTCCTCCCTAATGTGACAACCAAAGTGACTCAAGTCTCTGTCCATCGATGACCAAGGTCAGAAGTCACATGACACCAGGTTATCGTGCTGTTTGAAATCACAAGCATTCAGAAAGCTTGGTCAGGTGAAGGGGCCACGCTCTGAAAGCTTATGATTTCAAATAAACCTGTTGGACGATAACCTGGTATCGTCTGACTTCTGACCTTGTCCACCCTAATCCAACACCAGCACCTCCATATCATCGATGACCGAAATGGGAGATCTGCTGATGGTGCCTCACTGACTGTATTAAATGAGACACTATGTGGGCTACAACAAATTGCACAGTTTCACCCTTAGTGCATGCAGTGCAAGTTGCGGCCGGGGTCCCATTGTCATGCAACCTCTAGGCCCTAAGAAACATGACGCCGACCTGCATTTATGTAGCACCTCCCAAATGCAGCAAAGCCCCCACACCCCTCCCCCCAACCCCCACCAAGGTCTGGCCACAACTGGACAAAATTTGACACAGAGTATGTGATGTAATATTGGGGCAGCTAACCTTGGTCTCAGAGGAGGAAAGGGATACGGGACAGTTTAGGGAAGGAGTTATTGAGCACAGAGCATGGGCTGCTTGAAGGCATGGCCGCCCAATGCTGGGGCGAAGCGTTGTGCAAGTGGACAGCAAATCACCTGCCTGGACCTCTGTCAGTTTACAAAGAAAATTGCTGCTGCAGTGAAAGTTTCAATGTTTATTGAACACAAGGAGCACAGTTACCCTATAGAATACAAAGTCAGTAATTTAGATGGTTTCTCAAGATGTCCCATGGTCCCTTGTACCCAGTAACGTGCTTTTTAAGGGGATAATCAATTCATTGTTGTATTCAGAGAACCATACAATATGGAAGGAAGACATTCATTAATCTTGTCCGTGCTAACTCTGAAAAAACTTAGATTATTTCTCTGTTAACGTTTCGGGTCCAATGACCCTTCCTCAGAAGCTTACAGCATCCACAGTTCTTTCAGTTCTGAGGAAGGATCACTGGACCCGAAACGTTAACTCTGTTTCTTCCTTCACAGACGCTGTCAGACCTGCTGAGGTTTTCCAGCAATTTTGTTTTTGTTCCTGATTTACAGCATCCGCAGCTCTTTCGGTTTTTAGATTATTTCTCTGCTTTTTCCTGATAGCCCAGAATTTCTTTTAAGTCTTGTTCAACCTTTATCAAAGTCTTTCTTTGGGAAGTTTCCACTGAAACAGGTGCCACTGCACTCCAGATTAAAAAAAAAACAAAAATTCAGTAAAACAAAAATCCTCATATCTTGTGTCTGGTTTTGGTGCCAATTGTTTTAAATCTATGCTCACTGGTTAACAAGCAGCAATTTCATAATGTTTAACAAAGTCTGTTTCTTGGTGTTGTTGACTGGGAGATAAATATTGGCTGGGACAGACTCTCTTGTGTTTCACTTATCACTGCCAGAACATCTTACACAGTAGTAGAGTACAGGGTTTCTTGACTTAACATGCTTGATGGGGAGCAGCACCTCAGACAGTGCAGCACCCACTAAATGTTCCATTAGAGTGCCAGCCCTGGATTAGACATTCGAGACTCAGGGTTGGACTCCTGGCTTTTTGATTCAGTGGGTAAGAGGGTTACCCAAGGACCCACAGATGACACTTTTCTATCTACAAAGTGGTACAGGATAGTACTGTCCAGCTGTGTGAGGGAGGTTTGTTCTGTGGGCACAGTACTTGTTTCATTTAGGGTGAACAAGACAACTCAACGCCAATTCCTTTCTGCAGTATTTTAAAATAGAACACCAGTTTCTACAATGACACTGTTTTCAACCAGTTTAAATCAAGTGAGGTTGCATGAAACTTCACTCAATCTTACCTCATGTGGAAAGTATAATATAGCTTCACCTGCTTAGTGAGTTATATTCTGACTGTGGGTGTAGATAGACTTCTGGTCCCTGATCCAATTCATTGATTGTCCAGAGGACTTATGCTCCAGGGGTACCGGATACAGCCTTCATTCATTGCGCTGGTGCTCCATCAGCCTCACAAGTGATTAACTTAGGGCTTGAGATCAAAGATTCTTTGGTGCAGAATTTTCCACCCTGAGTAGGTGGGATTGGAGGTGAAGCGGTTTGTGGGGGTGGGGAGTGGGGTGGTGGGAACCATAGTTTTCAGGTTCTGGCCAGAGTCCTGGTTTTCTGGCAAATTCCTACCTCCGGGGACATGCTGCTTTGGCTAGCCAGGACCCTTCCTTGCTTTAGACTTGCTTGTTTTTTCCCAGCCAGCAGGCAGGGCAACTCTCGTAGTCAGGCTGCCCAGCTCTCACTGATGATGGACATTCCACTGAGTCTCCAGCATTGGGAGCCCACTCGCCATCCATGATTCAATGGTGTTCTTAGCTCCAATAATCCATCTCTTCAGAAATTACAATGAGCGTCAGATGGGGATCAGTGCCTGAGAATCTTGGGAATTCTCCTGATGTCAGAGCCTTGGCGTCAGGGTGCGCGTTCGACCCTCAGGCACTGATATCTAAGTCCCTTATCACCAGTAGGTGAGAGCAGCATTAGTCCAGTATTCAGGTACCAGCAGTGGGTAGCAACTGAATGTCTGACTTAGAAGATCCAAATGCAGGTCTGTGCAGTTTGCAACGAAGTCTAAGTTGATACTTCAGTGCAGTACAGATGAAACACTAATTTGTTAGAGGTGCTGATCATCGGTTGAGGTGTTAAATTGAGTTGGAAATAAACTCAGCGAAATCCTAATGAAGACTAGTGAAGCTCGCCCACTCTGTCTTGGACCATATGTCAACATTGCTGTTGACATGATTTTGTTATGATCTCATCAGTTCTTGGGAATGTCCCACCCTAAGGTGTGAGACCCACCTGCTGGAGGAGAATTTTGGAGCTTCATAGATACATTGGCCATGACTCATTGGATTTTGAGAAGAAACCGAACTGGACAGCCATATTAAACACAGTGGCTATAAGAGTAGGTCAGAGGCTGGGAATTCTGAGTTGAGTAACTCACCTCCTGACTCATGTCCACCATCTACAAGGCACAAGTCAGGAGTGTGATGGAACACTTCCCATTTGCCTGGATGAGTGCAGCTCCAACAACGCTCAAGAAACTTGACACCATCCAGGCCAAAGCAGCCCATTTGATTGGTGCTCGTGATCACATTCAGTCACAAACATTCAGTCCGTCCACTGTCGATTCATAGTATCAGTGGTGTGTAGCATTTCAAGACGCACTGCAGCAGTTCACCTTACACAGCACTTTCCAGCCCATGGTTTTTACCACCTAGAACGTCAATGGCAGCAGATAAATGGGAATACCACCACTTGCAACATCCCCTCCAAGCCACACGCCATCTCTTAGTTTAGAGACTCGGAGTTTCTGTCTGCCTCTTTGGGACTCAGTCAGATATTGGCATAACACAGAGAAGGCTGGCACGGACAAAGATTTAGGAATCCATGGCTGTGCACAGGAGCCCAGTTAGAGTTTAACCAGTTGAGATTATGTAGTGAAGTCCCATTACCTGCACTTTCTTTAACCCCAGTGTCAGCTGTAGCACTGTCCTCTCTGAGTCAGAACATTGTGAAGCTGAAGTTGTACTCTGCAGGCTTGAGCAGTAAATCAAGGCTAATGCTCCAAGCGCAGTAGTGGGGGAGAGCCGCATTGCCATCTTTGGAATGAGACATTAAATTGAGGGGCCATCTGCTCATTCAGGTATTATTCGAAGGAGAGCAGGAGAGGTCTCCTTGGCTTGCTGCCAAATGCGTCACCCTCAACTGACACCACAAAGAGCTAGTATCCAAGTTCAGTGGGTCATAGGGAAGGCAATTTGAACATTGGTCTTTATTTCAGAGGGAATGGAGTAGAAAGAGTAGAGTAATTTTGCCAAAGCTATACAAGGCACTAACCAGACCATGGCTTGGAGGGCATGGTACGGGATAGTAGAACAGTCCAAATTGAATTGATGTGAATGACGTAGGGTCTGTCTGTTTCAGGTATTACCGATGTGACCAGACACTGGAGTGGAATGCTGGAGCTCTACACTACAGTGACGTGGTGAAGAAGATCCACCCTCTCAGCTTCATGAGCAACAGTGAAAAGGTGGCGATGATTCAAAATGTCAATCAAGTGGCTTACATTGGCAAAGGCACGTACACAGACTGCGCCATACGGGATGGTGCTGAGGAGCTTCTGCTCGGGTGAGTGTGCTTTAGATATCTCCAAACGGGGAACCAAAACGGGGAAGTTCACAAATAACTTACTCTGATACTTCTAGAGTCAGTGAATCTGAGATGACGTCAGTTGCAAGGTTACAGCTTTATTCTGAGAGCCAACAGTTGCTGTGCCATTATTGCCATGAGCAGTTGTGTTGGGGTTATGTCCATATTACTTCCAAATGTCAGATCAGTGCAATTTTCAGGACCAGAGTTCTTGATGGTATATCTAGATTTTGTTTTCTATCTTTGGGTCCATGATCTTCAGTCCATTTCCCAGCAGATAACTGCATACTCTTTGCTAAATAGATTAATTGACTTATAACCAGTGCATCATTTTATTCATTTCATTGAGTTAGTCCAATTACCCTCTGGCACTTTCAAAGTTAAACAACATACTCACATTATTCCAGACTGTTAAAGACCTAATCAATCCTCACATGAACTTTATTTTCTCAAATTTAAGTTTTTCTCACTAGCTTTCATATTATTGCAGTTTTGGATCCCAGAATTAACTTTGCCAACCTTCTCCAAACCATCTTCAATGCAGCATTGACCTTTTACAGATCAATATAAGGCAGAGTGCTCCAAGTGAGATCTAGTCAGTGATAGTCATACAGCATGGAAACAGACCCTTTGGTCCAACTAGTCCATGCCGACCACATTCCCAAACTAAACTAGTCCCACCTGCTTTTGTTTGACTCATGTCCCTCCAAACCTCTCCTATTCATGTACTTAACCAAATGTCTTTTAAACGTTGTAAGTGTACCTGCAACCACCACTTCCTCTGGCAGTTCATTCCATGTACGAACCACTGTCTGTGTAAAAATGTTGCCCCTCATTCCTTTTTAAATCTTTCTCACCTTAAAAATGTGTCCCCTAGTTTTGAACTCCCCCACCCTTGCTATTCACCTTATCAGTGCCCCTCATGATTATAGCTTAAGCTAACTTGCAATCAAATTCCTTTCAAAAGTTTTCCAGCGTTGGATTGAGTCGATGGACATTAAGACAATGGTTCGTCCTCACCCTTTTGTCCCTTCACCACCTTTGTAAGTGCTCATCCACTGTGCAAAGATTTCTTGAACAATGTATATCCATTTGTGTTGTAAAGAAAAGCAAGGAGAAGTAAGCTCCATTTAGACTTCAGACTTCTGCAAGGTCTAGGCCAAAGCTTCTGTTATTGATGAATGCTCAAACCATGCTGACAAATATATCCCTCCTATTTGAAAAACAAGGATTATTAGTGGTGTCGGAAAATTCAGGTCGCTTTTGGCAAATCTCCTGAAAATCTGGGCCGTTTCAAATAATTAGATTTGGAAAAGGAGGCCATTCTGTGTAATGGTGGCCACAACAACTACCATTTATGGTCATAAAAACCCGTCCTGTTCGCTAATACCCTTTAAGGAAGGAAATCTGCGGTCCTTGCCTGGTCTGGCCTGCATATGGCTCTCGACCCCACAGCATTGTAGGTGACGGTTAATTGTCCTGTGAAGTGGCAAGGAAAGCCATCCAGTTTTAGGATGGGCAATAAATGTTGCCCTTGGCTGTGACACCTACATCCAATGAAGAAAATAGACAAGTAAAATTTTGGTCAAAGACTGCAATGAGGTAATTTCCTCCCCTGTCATCCCGCCCTCACCACCACCACCAATGGCCTGTCAATGGTTCATTCAACTTCCATTGTCAATGTTTCTATTTCGAATTGAAACATTGTTAATGAGTTCCCTTGCTTCTCAAGGGAAACGTGGATCATTCAGGCTGTTCTGTATTTTTGTGCTGGCATAGAAGCAAACAGAGATAGAATAATAAACAGATAATCAGTATAAAATATCTCTCATTCCAGTGGCTCACATCACCGGGAGAACAAGTACATGATTGTGGTAACAGATGGGCATCCAATTGAGGGATACAAGGAGCCATGCGGAGGCCTGGATAATGCTGCATCCGATGCAAAGAACCAAGGGATAAAGATATTTTCAGTGGCCATCACACCAGATCACCTGGTCTGTCTGCAATTGCTCCTAATGCTATCTTTTCTTCTCTGTTGTACTGCTGTCTCCAGACACTTACACATATTTCTGCATTTACCGAGCTTCCCCTTAATTACATCAATGCCTCAACCGTTCTGTTTTTTAAAAAAAATTCACTCATAGGTTATGGGAGTCAATGGCTGGGCCAGCAATTATTTCTCATCCCTAATAGCCTGGTGGGGAGCTGCCTTTTTGGGTGGCACAGTGGCTCAGTGGTTAGCATTGTTTCCTCATAGTGTAAGGGGCCTGGGTTCAATTCCAGCCTCAGGTGACTGGCTGTGTGGAGTTTGCACATTCTCCCTATGTCTGTCTGGAGTTTCCTCCAGGTGTTCTGGTTTCCTCCCACAGTCCAAAGATTTGCAGCTAAGGTGGATTGGCCATGTTATGCTGTCCAAGGATGTGCTGACTAGGTGGGTTAGCCATAGGGTGTGTCTGGGTGGGATGCTGCTCAGAGGGTCACTGTACACTTGATGGGCTGAGTGGCCTGCTTCCACACTGTAGGAATTCTATGATTCTTAAACTATTGCAGCCCTTGAGGTGTGAGGGAATGGTGACATGATCAGGATAGTCCGTGATTTGAAGGGGAATGTGTAGGTTGTGGTGTTTTCATGCACCTGCTTGACTTTTCCTTCTTGATAGAAGAGGTCACAGATTTAGGAGTTGCCTTGGGGAGTTTCTGCAGTACGTTTTGTGGATGGTACACAGTGCTGCCACTGTGCATCAGTGGTGGAGGGAATGAATGTTTCAGGCAGTGGGTGGGGTGACATTTATGTAGACGACTTTTAGTCTACCCTATCAGACCCTACCTATTCTTAAAAGACCTCCTCTAACCCAACCCTCAGCTTTCTCACTTCTGAGGAACCCTTGGCCTATTCAATCTTTGCTGAGAGCTATAACCCCTCAGTTCTGTATCATTCGGGAAAGTATTAAAGCTATCTTAAATATGCTTGCTCGTAATAGTGATAAATAAAAGAGCAATGAAATGACAAAATGTGGTAAAGCAGGAAGTGAACACCATGTGTTCAAAGCAAACACCAGCCTCCCCTTGACCTGATTGACGGGGTGCGTAGTAAAGTCAATAAATTTGGTGATTTCGGGATGGCAGAAGAGAAATGAACCTAAAACCTACCAGATCAATGTTAAGTCCAGCAAGCACCCCTGCCATCTCTAACCAGTCGGGTCTGCATGTGTAAGAAAAGGAACCGTAACTTAAATCTGTCTTTTTGGGTGATGTTTAAAGAAGGAGTTGGGCCTCGTTGTGGAGATGTGACTTCTAGTGATTGATTTTGACAGTTTGACGTTGGTCGCATGCAAGATAAACTGCAAATCCCGGCAGCCGGGAGAGGGGTCTTTGGGATGTTAAGTGCTAATCCCCATACATTGAGACAATTAAAAGAATGATCTATAATACTGCGCTTTGAGTGCTGGCTGAAACATAATGAGGAGAACACTGGTTTATCATCTAGCAAAGGAAACATGCACCCTGGCTCCTTTTGTTGTGGTCAGACTGTGCCTACAGGGAACCATTGCTTGGCTACAAATGAGATGAGGATCTAGCCTGAGGGACTGCGTGTTAAAGCTGTTCTGGATGTTAATTGTAGACATTGTAAACAGGAAGCGGATACAAGCCTACAATGAAAAGTAATGAAAGATGAACGAATGGAAATATGCGACTGGCAAGATTAAAATCTCGATTTCTTGTCTGGGTCTTCCCTCAGCCCCAAGTGCGCACTGGAGCAGAGAATTCCACAGATTAATGACCCTCCGAGGGAAGAAATCCCTCTCTATCTGTGTTTCAAGTGGGAGACCCGTTTCTTTCAAACCGCGGCCCCTTGGTTCTAGATTCCCCAACAATCCTCACAGCATCCACCCGTTTCAAGCCCCCGTTGGAAACTTTTATGTTTCAATAACGTCACCTCTCATTTTTCTAAACTCCAAAGAATTTGGGTCCAAACTGCTCCACCTTTCCTCACAAGAGAACTCTTTTATCCCAGAAATGACCCCAGCTAACCTTTCCTTGAACTACTTCCGATGCAATTGTATCCCTCCTTAGACCTGACCATTGCCATCGTTAATTGTTGCGAGATTTTCTTCATTTTATACTCTGTCCCTCTTGCTATGAAGCCTGGGATTATATTGACCTTCCTAATGACTTGCTGTACCTGTAGTCTAATTCCTTGCTGTTCTTTACAAAAATACTCTGATTCAAAATCAGAAATTGCTGGAAAGGCTCAGGCAGGTCTGGCAGCATCTGCAGAAGGAAATCAGAATTAACGTTTTGGGTCCAGTGACCCTTCCTCAGAACTGATGGAAGCTAGGAAAGTAGTTTTCTGTGCAGAAGATAGGGAGGGGTGAGGGGGTAAGGAGTAAACGATAGGCGGGAGTAGAGCCCAAAGAGACAGAAGAATAGTTGGATAAAGGAGTGGATAACGGTCAGGCTGGGAGAATGAAAGGGTGCTAATGGGGACTAGTAGTGGCTAACAACAGGTTGTGTAATAGCAGACCATGTGATAGCAAGGCCTGGTGTTGGGGCTTGGGGTAAGGGCATGGGAGAAGGTGCCTCAAAACCCTAAAACTGTTGAACTGGATATTGAGCCTGGAAGGCTGTAGAATTTCCAAGCAGGAAAATCATAGAATCCCTACAGTGTGGAAACAGGCCATTCGGCCCAACAAGTCCACATCACCCCTCCAAAGAGCATCCCACCCAGACCCATTCCCCTTATCCTGCATTTCCCATGTCTAACACACCTAACCTAAACATTCCTGGGCACTACGGGGAATTTAGCATGGCCAATCCACCTACCTTGCACATCTTTGGACTATGGGAGGAAACCCACGCAGACACGGGGAGAATGTGCAATCTCCACACAGATAGGTGCCCGAGGCTGGAATCGAACTCGGGTCCCTGGCACTGTGAGGCAGCAGTGCTAACCACTGAGCCAAAATGAGGTGCTGTTCTTCCAGCTTGTGTGGAGCTTCACTGGAGTACCGAAGAAAGCCTGAGACAGAGATTTGGCCAGGGAACACTGTGGTGTGTTGAAGTGGCAGGAAAATGGAAGCTCATGGTCTTTTTTGCGGGCAGAATGTAGGCGTTCTGCAAAGCGGTCACCCAGTCCATGCTGCCTCTCTCCAGTGTAGAGGAGACCACATGGTGAGCAACAAATGCAGTAGACTAGATTGTAGGTCTAGGCCCGAAACATCAGCTTTCCTGCTCCTCTGATGCTGCTTTGCCTGCTGTGTTCATCCAGCTCTACACCTTGTTATCTCAGACTAGATTGTATGATGTTCAGGTAAATACTCTGATTCCTGTGTAGCGCAGCATTCCAAAACCTCTCTCCATTGAAATTGTGTTTTTTTTAATTCTTCCCACCAAAGTGAAAAACCTCGTCTGTTCCAATGTTGTGCATGATCTGCCAGTTCCTTTCCAACTCACCATCAATATATCAATGCCTTCTGTTCTTAAGTAAAATGCTTTTTTTTAGGAAGCAAGACTGAATCTGATTGCAACTAGTCCCAAATATCGACGAAATTACACAGCAACCATTCTCAGCGAGGTGAAACTAAACAATACCATTGAAAGCATCCTTCAAACTATTGTGAGTATCACATTCTGTACACCATTGGCGAATATATTTCACAGAACCTTTCAGTTCAGACACTCAGCAGGTTCCTGTTGAGATTCCTGGCAGTGCCCATTCAGAAAATCAACTCTTCCAAAGTGGATCGACTTTTCTCATCACTTGGCTCCAGACCTGGGCTTCATCCTCAGAGGGTCTTGATGTGCCATATCTGAGTGCATGGTGATTCAGATTTCAATTCATTGATCATTCAGTGTCACAGATCACCAGTGGGATTGTAGTCTCTACAAGGGAACATGCCCCCAAGACTCAATTGGCTGAGAGTTAACCTCAGCAATAATAGCTGTGTAGTTCTTAATGCTTTTCACTGTTCACTCTTCAGCAGCAATGTTAGTCTGTCCACGTGATCTCACCCACATTAAAATAGCAGATACAAGAATGTGTTAAACATTATATGCCTTTTTATCACTGTAAGCCATTCATAGGCTTTGTTAATGCTATTCTCAATTATACCCACTATTTTCTATACATACTGGCCCCTAATATTTTGTCATTTCAAGATTCCCAGGCTTCATTATTGGCTTTATTGACCACTCCATTATTCAATCGTTCCAACAGAGAGAAAAAACTCATTATTTCATTACTGCCTCATAACGAGCAAAGGAAGGCAACCAAATACTTGATTCCACAATTCAGAGCATGGAACAAAAATATTTGATCAGTTTGGTCTTCTGGCCTTATGTTAACCTAAACTATGGGCCACCGATTATCTTTGTTCAATATATTGTAAACTCTCTTTATTTAAATATTCAAAGAACTCTAATTTCTTCTCTTTCTTGCTTACAGTATGACGAAGTGGAACCAGTGGTATGTTGCATCAACTCAAATTTGATCTCAAAATTATTTGATAGGATATTTTTAGCATGTAGCATTTGTGTTGCTATGATCTTGTATTTATTCTGTTTTTCTTTTTGATCTGCAGTGTTGCTCCTTTGAGTGCCATGTAAGTTGCCTTCGAGAGAAGCATCTTTGCAATCTCAAAATTATTTTTCTGCTGCATATCTTTAAGGAGACCAATTTACACACACGAAAATGTTTTATTTCTCTATCTTACAGGCATTAAGAGGATCACCTGGGATCCCAGGGGATCCAGGAGAAAAGGTTAGTGTCACAGGTTATTTTATGCACAAAGCGAATGGAGGTATAGCTAACATAGAAACTAGGAGCAGGAATAGGCCATTTGGCCCTTTAACTCTGCTCTGCTCCTTAATATGATCATGGTTTATCCTCTATCTCAGTGCCATATTCCCACTATGTTCCCATACACCTTGATGCTTCTAAAATCTAAAAGTGTACCTGTCTTTTTTTGTATGTATTCAGTGACTTGGTCTTTCCTGCCTACTGTGGTACAGAATTCCATAGGTTCACAACCCTTTGAGTGTGTCCCTCAGTACTAGACTCCTCAAACAGGCCAAATAACCTTCCTGCATCTAGTCTGTCCAGGCCTGTTACAGTTTTATATGCTTAAATCACAACCTTCTAAACCTCTAGTGAATACAGGCCCAGTCAAACCAAACTCTTTGCATGAGACAGTCCTGTTATCCTCAGTATCAGACTAATGAACCTCCCCTGCACTCCTTCTAGTATATCCTTTCTTAGGTAGGGGGACTAAACTGCACACAGTTCTTCATGCTTGGTCTTACCAAGGTCCTGTAGTAAGACATCCTGACTTCTGAATTCAAGTCCTCTTATGATGAAGGCCAACATATCATTTACCTTCCTGATTGCTCTCTGCAACTGACGGTTTACTTGAACTGATTAATCTACAAGGACACCCAGATCCCTTTGTATGTCCACACTTCCCAATATGTCACCATTTAAACTTGCCTTCACACCAAGATATACACTCCATGTTTAGCCACGCTGTACTATCTGCCAGGTGTTTGCCCAAATCACTCAAGTTGTCTACATCAGCCTGAAGCCTTGCATCCTTCTCACAACCGCATCCAGTTTTGTGTCAGCTGCAAACTTGGAAATGTTCCATTTGCTACCGTCACCCAGATTGTTTACATATATCGTGAATAGCTGGGGTCCAAGCACTGATCCTTGCAATACACCACTAGTCACTGCGTACCACTTGGAAAAATACCCATTGTTCTCACTCATGTTCCTGCCTGTCAACTAGTTTTCAATCCATGCTGATATATTATTTAGTTTTACCCCCTAGCCTCCTCTATAGGGCCTGATCAAAGCCTTCGGAAAAGCCAAATACACCATATCTGCTGGTTTCCCTTTATCTATTCTCCTACTTACATCCTCAAAAAAACTCCAGGTAAGTTTGTTAAGCATGCTTTGCCAAACAGTTACAATATTGGCAGTGCTTATTTCAAGGATTACTGCATCATTCCCAACGTCCTAGAGTACAAAAGCTCTCATCTCACCCGTTTTGAAAATATCAGATGGAAAATGTCAAAAGATCAATTGTAGTCATAAATTAATCAAATTAATTGCAAAGTGCCAGCCCTATTCAATCAGGAAGGCTCACCCAGCCTCCTAACTGATGAGGGTGATTTCCCAAATGTGAATAGAGTTTTACCGGGGCCATATGATTGACTGTTCACAACGATGCACATAAGCAGTGTAATCTTCATTTTGTGAGACGTGTTGCACTCGGCACTGGCTGTATGGACATGTTAAATGGACAATGTTTTGTTCCCTTGCACAGGGTTCAGATGGACGTCGAGGTCCTCATGGTCCTATGGGGCCACCTGGTCCCTTGGTAAGTACAGAACCTGCTTCTATCCACACTGCTGCTTCCTCTGTAACAATGCTGTCAACAGAATGTGTCCAGTCAGCGTAGAATGGACCCTCTCTTTCAACATTGTTCTTCACCCCTCTTGTGTATGGAGAAATTTTTAGTCTGCATGTGTTTTGAACCCTCAGTCACCAAATTGTCGCTTCCATCATAATTCTTAGCTGAACATCCTAAGTTAATTGCTTTCGATTGTGCCGACTGTTGGTTTGAATGTATTCCCTCACCACTGACAACTCCTTTCTTCTTCATTTCAGGGTAGACCCGGTGATGTTGGTCCAGCTGGTCATCCGGGTATGAAGGTAACTATGTGAATTGCATTACCACGGTGATATAACTGGTTACCAACTGTAACACCTGAGCATTCTCTTCACCAACACAATCTTTGTCTTTTGCCAACAGGGTGACAAAGGAGAACGTGGCACAAAGGTAAGGGTGCCTATTGACTTCAGTCACAGAATTACAATTTCATTCCTGATGTCTATTGAGCTTTCATTACAGACGTTACAGAACATGTGTAACACAATCTTTAAACATACGTAGCAATCCTAGTTTCTAGACTTGTGTTCTGAGTACAAATCAGAATAAAACTAAGAACAAGGAAGAGATTGAGCAATGATGACAACGATATTGTTTTGGATCTTGATACAGTGAATAAGGCAGGAGAGGTTCAGACGAGAGGACACAGATTTAAAGTGAATAACAGAAGGTTGGCGAAAGAGAAGAAGTTTTTTTTTAACACAGCCAGTTATGATCTGGGATGTAGTGCCAGGTGTGATTTACAGAAAAGGAACTGAGTAACCGCTTGGCAAGAAAAACACATGAAGAAATAACAGGGAAGTGCGACTAATTGAGGAGCTCTTTTAAAGAGCCAGAAGAGGTGCAATGGGCCAACTTGACACCTTCTGCATGGCACAATTTTATTTTCGAATGGACCCAAATCAGATCGTTATACAACGACCAATTCTTCAGGCCCCAGTGGCCTAGTAGTGTGCCCTGTCTCCCTGCTTTACAAGGGCAGCAGGCAGTGAGAATGGTTTCTTCATGAACTTCCCAGTGAAGAGGACTGGCTGGACCATTCCGTTCCTCTCCATTCATTTGCCCTTCGGGTTGTCGGCTCAATGCACTCTTATGTACATCCTGTTACAAACAGGCTTGGTCTAAACCAGGCAGCACCTCTGCCCATCCTTCTCAGGGATCTGTCCAAGGTAGCGATGGTAGTGCAAGTGTAAAGGGGATGGTAAGAGAGCCACTGCCAACTCTGGACTAATGCCAGCCCATTTCCACCAGGCAAAGAGCCTAAATCCTGCCCTCACTCAGGGCAAATATTCTGTCTTGTAGTTCACCTTAACTGTACAAAGGGAATTGGTAAGGGAGGGGGGGCATTTACCTTTATCATGAAGTGGGGGGAGCTTGGAATCACCGGACAGAGGCAGATCCAATATCATCAGGGGAAGGGAATCCCGAAATGCAAGGGAAGGGAACTCAGGTGTAGGGAGGGAGCTCAGTATCGGCAGGGAGTTGAGGCGGTGGGGAGTCGATTTTGGCAGAGGGTGAGCTTGGTATTGGCAGGGGGTTGTGGGGGGGTAAACTCAGTATCAGCAGGGGGTTGTGGGGGTGGAGATCAGTATCAGCAGGGGGTGGGGAGCTCAATATCAGCAGGGGTTGGCAGGGGTGTGGAGCTCAGTACAGAAGGGGTTGTCGGGGGGAGCTCATTTTCGGCAGGGGAGGGGGACCTATATCAGCAGGAGAGAATTGGTGTCTGTGGCAAAGTGTTCCACCAATCTCATTCAGGATACAAAATAAAATGGCAATTAGCAAGCACGCTGTGATACATTTGCTGAATCATGCCTTTTGTTTTTCAGGGTGACAGAGGACACAAAGGAGCCAAGGTTAGAGCGATTTGAATTATCCCAGGGTCTACAAAGTCAAAGTATTTGAAAGTTACCCCAGTATCCATCCCTCTACACCACTCACTAATTATCTCATTCTGCTCTGCCCGATGATTTTAGGGTGCGAAAGGATTCCCTGGAAGAGATGGGAAAGATGGTCTGAAGGTAAGAGAGAATGGGATATCGAAGTGTTGAATGTTCTCGTTCTGAGAGAACCACTGTCACTCAGTGATGCTTAGCCAGTGTTTATAGACAGGGTTCACCATTGATACATTAATAAAAAGCAGCCCTGAGTAAAGAAGAGACTCTGAGCCAACGAGAGAGAGATTTGCATTTTATATTTCCTTTTCAGAGATAACTGTGATTTAATTTTGTTGGTGTTATTGCATTTCATTATAAAGCCAACCCATTCTCACTGTCAAGCAGCATTCTTTAGTCGCTAGGCAGGTGAGATAAGTTTTTGAGTAGTATTTAGAGACACATGCCAATGTGTGTTATATCAATTTCCTACACTGTTATAATCCTCCTGATTCTGTGAACCCACAGACTTTACCTAAATATATTTCAAAGAGAACACGATCAGAACAATTGCATGACTGGAAAAAAATATTTTAACTTAACTCAGGCTGGGTACCTGTGGGATTGAGTGGAATGTCGCTAATACATCTGCCCAGTTTAGCATTCCATTCAGCCTTTGTTAAAATCATTTGCAATGAGAAAGTCATCGGACCCTCCCAACTATTTAACATCTATTATGCATTACCATCACTGAATCCCCCATGATTAACATCCTGGGGATTACCATTGACCAGAAACTGGGCTGGACTCACCGTATGAATATAGTGGCTACAGGAGCAGGTTTTAGAGGCTAGGAATACTGTGGTGGGTAACTCATCTCCTGACTCCCAAAGCCTGTCCCCCATCTACAAGGCACAAGACAGGAGTGTGATGGAATACTCCCCACTTGCCTGGATGGGTGCAGCCCCAACAATACTCAAGAAGCATGATGCCATCCAGGACAAAGCAGCCCACTGCATTGTCACTGCTTCTACCATTTTAAGCATCCACTCCCTCCACCACCGATGCTCTGTAACAGCAGTGTGTACTATCTACATGATGCACTGCGGAAATTCACCAAAGATCCTCAGGCAGCACCTTCCGAACCCACAACCTCTACCACCTAAAGGACAAAGCAGCAGGTACTTGGAACATCATCAACCTGTTCCCCTTCAAACCACTCACCATTCTGCCGTGAAATATATTGCCGTTCCTTCAGTGTCACTGGATCGAAATCCTGGAACTTCCTCCAAAGGGGATTGTGGGTCTACCTGCACCCCAAGCTCTGCAGTGGTTCAAGAAGGTAGCTCACAACCACCTTCTCAAGGGCAATTAGATGCTGGCCAGCCAGCGACACCCACATCCTGTAAATGAATTAAAAAAAACTCCTCTGCAGACATTAGATAATGACGGATGGTCCATTTGACATGGGTTGAGAAAGTTGTGGGTTCTATACAGGACTGAAGCTAATTCAGTGGCCATTGACTGAGTGTTCCATTACTGGAAATATCATTCTTCAGTGTGAGATATTAAACTGCGGTCCTGCTGGTTAGATCAGGTAAACATTAGGGAATCCTGTTGCCTAAGAATAAGAAGCTTTACCCATGTCCTAAAGCCAGCGGCAAAGATGCACTGGCCATTCAACTCACCGCTGTTTTGGGATCCTGCTGTGTGCTGTGGAATAAGTGCCATTTGGCAGAGTGGACCTGAACTAACAATTCGAGGGAAGTGGCAGTCCCTGTCCCACCATTGCTGTTTGGAAATTTGAAATCGGCATAAAAAGTTTTAAGAAGTCAGTATTAGTAAAAATCACGACAAAACCCTCAATTGGTCGTTGAAACTCAAATCATCCACCAACTGTGGTCTGACAAGTTAGGTCCAGCTTCGCGATGAGGAATGAGCAACTTCTTAAACATCTGTGATGACACGATGTTGAAATCTTTTCATGCTATTTCTTTGATCAGGGTGATGCTGGGTACCCTGGTCTGCCAGGTTGTATTGGATCTCCAGGATTTCCTGTAAGTATTGTACTCTACTTTGTTCTCTCTGTGAAAACGTCTGCAGTATTTGGCAAATGGTTGCCAAATCTGTAATCGCAGTGTGTCTGATTTTGTTTCTCTTGCTGTGGGTGTTTTGGTCTGTGGGTGAATGTGAAAGCAGCATCTATGCTGTAGGTGAACTCCAGTCCTGTGAGTGAAGGCCCACGTTTGACATTGCGCGTTGCCCCGGAGATGGGAAAGGTTGTGCCGCGCCGGATTTCTGGAACGGCGTTTGGCTGTGGCTGATAATCCCGAGAGCGTGCACATGACTAATGCCCTTCCAAGTGGATTCTGGGCAGCGAGGGAAATTTGTGTCAGTTTGCGCCAGTTCCATCCAATTCCAATTTTGTGCCAATTCCATCCTGTGCCCCACTGGCACTCTCCATGGACGAGGGATTGGGGTGTGCGACAGAGGTACATGCCACAAGTGCCAGGCAGCTGATTAATCGGCCAGTGGAGACCTATTGCCAGAGGGCAACTGATGTGATTCAGTCATCCATTGGTCCCCTCAAGGTATTAGGGACTAGGCCAACTGCCTTGATGTGGACTCTTGGTAGCAGACCAAGGAACCAGCACTCCAGGCAGGCTTTGAAACAAAGGAATGCAAGAGCAGGAGTAGGCTGTTCAGCCCCTTGAGCCTAATCTGCTATTCTATCATGGCAGATTATCTCGCTCAATGTCATATCCCTTGATGCCATTGAGAATTTTAAGGCATATATCCTTGCCCTCAGCTGTTAACCCTCCCAAAATGGTGTCCTGATTCCTAAGACCATTCATAAAAAAAAAACTTTTGGAAATGTACAGAGAGAGAGAGTGCATCTCAAGGTTTGTGCTTCCTACCCACAACCCCTTGCCTGAACTGCAAGCTTCACTTCCTTTCCAAGCTTAAATTGATTGTGACCGTGGGGGCTAATTGGCCAATTTAGGGGAAAAAAAACTCGACTATTAATTGCCCCCTAAAGAAGCCCACCCACTGCGCAATATGAATTCTTAAAGAGTACGGTCCCCATCATTCACCGAGGATGTAAGACCCATATTGACATTTGCAGTGTCCCCATTGGCTAATGTCTCCATCCCAAAAAACTCACATACTTCTGTGTGGACACTGAAGTTTTCTGGGTCAAGCTCCCAGACCCTGTCAAACAACCTTAAGCTTCCAGAGATAACTCTATCTGTTGAACACCAAACACTACCCAGAGCTCATTGAGCAGGCGCCGGGTGTCCGCAGAGAAGGTGTATCCTGACTGTGAGGCCATCTTGAAATTCAAGGTTCACATCGTCAAGTAGCAGCATATTAAGCCCTTGTATTAGAAAGAAGAATTGTGCTCAGAAATACAGCAAGAACCCATCAGCTGTTGATATGAGAATTGCCTGACCTCCAGTTTTGTCCAGGTGTTACCAGGAATTGGAGGTTAATATCCAGGACACTGTTACAAGAAAAAAACATAGGGATGTTAAAAATGTATGTAAAAACCTGTGTTTAGTTTGTTAGTTGTTGAAATATCAAAGATGACGAGGCGGTCAAAGTCAAGAATAATTCCATTGGGTTGTCAAGCTCTGTTCGCTTTCTGATTGGCTGATTCATGAAGATGGACATGCCAGGTGACCAATAATAGGCTGTGCTGGGGGCAGGGCATTGAGATCATGTGAAAAATGGAGTTTATAATCTTGTTTAATCCAGCTGGATTACCTCAGTAATATTGCTGTGTTTCCTAACTCTGGTATTAGATGTCCTGATGGGCAGTGCATGTTTCTCATTGAGCTAAACAAGTGGAGACTGTAGTGTAGTACTGGTTTTCCAATCATCTAAGAACAAAAGAGGAATTGACTGCAAATCTTTTTGAAATCTTTTCCCTCACAGGGACCACCTGGACTACAGGGCCTTAAGGGCGATCCAGGTCCATTTGGAAGAAAGGGACAGAAGGTACGATGTTTCTAAGATGGGTATAATACATATTATTGTAAAACAATGCCTTCCTTATGATCAGTCACCAAATGGCATCTTAGCTGCCTAAATATTTGACCTCATTTGGTTGTGAAGTTATTTAAATTTTAGTCCTTTGTAACTTTGATTCCTCCAGTAATGATGATGGGGTCATGGATTCATTATCATTCGTCCACCATTTGAATGGACATTGACAACATGAGCCCATTACCTTATCCTCCATGAGCTGCTGGGACTGAAGCTAAAGGATGAGAGATCTCCTTGGAGACTCAATAAACGTGGAGCTAGAAAAACAGAGCAGGTCAGACAATATCCGAGGAGCAGGAAAGTCAACGTTTCAGGCCGAAACATTGAATTTCCTGCTCCTTGCATGCTGTCTGACCTGCCATGCTTTTCCGGCTCCACATTTATTGACTCTAGCTTCCAGCATCTGCAGCTCCAGATCTCCTTGGGGAAATTGGTTAGCAACCCTTTCTGCTCCACACTTGCCTTCTTCTGGTGCACTGCCTTTTTGAAGATGCTGTAATGTCTTTTTTTTTAGCTTTATTTCTTATTTTCCTCACTTATTCTGTGTATGTCTGTAAAATAGTGTAACCTTTTTCTTTATTTTCTTTTTTTTTGTATCTAAGATTGTACCCTAGGTGCTGTGCATTGGATGCCATTGTACACTTCTCACTGTGTTCCTGTTCTTTTGTAGCTCGAGTATATGTGACAATAAATCTAATTTTAATGCGCCAATGGAGGATAGGGCTATTGCACACACCGATGGAGCAATTTGCAAGGCTGCAAACTGCAGGATTTGTCACCTGTTCAAATGTGAACACCTTTTAGCGCGGGACAGTTGGAAACATGACTGGTTTCATGCCACAGCCTGGGGCCCACTGTGTGAAAATATTACAATATTGCTGAATGTCATCCATGAATCCCTTCCATCCACTACCCAGCTTCCCCAATCCACCCAACCGAAGAGAAGCTAAATAGAGCTGATCGATTTCTAAGAAGGGAATAATGAAAATAGTGTAAGAATGAGGGTGTAGCTGGAGATACTGAGAGGTGGAGCTTGCTGATAATGTGAATGAAGTTTTTAAAATGGAATAGAAATCCTGAGTTGGATGGGGCAGCAAGGCATTGGACATGGTCACCTTGTGTTCACACTGCTCTCACTTCAGGTCTTTGCAATGGCTTCGTACAGAACCACTTTATTACCTACAGGCACAGGAATAGGACAGACAGAAAGCAATCCGTTATCTATCCAGACTTGTCCCATAGCTGACTTGGGTATCACAACACACAGTCTCTCAAACCATGTGGATCTCCCTGCATTAGGCGAAGAATGCTGTTTAAAAACTCAAGGCCAACGAAAGGAATGAAATACGGAAAATTCCTCACTGCTTCCCACTTGGGTGACACCAAACTAGTCTAAACCTCTGGGACCCCGGCTAACGTGAATAAGGTCTTGCCTCCTGTCTTGAAGTGATCCAGTCAGACAGGTTTAGCTCTCTCTATTGAATAAATTCAGCGAATTAGCGCACATTGCATAGGCTGACAGCGTGTCGTGTGAGGCTAACCTACAACAATTAAATCAGGGGAAAACAAAATGTTGACGTGTGAAATAATTATGTGTTTGATTCTTTATGTAGGGTGAACCTGGCTTAGATGGGGAACCAGGACGACCTGGAAATGTTGGGAGACCAGGCGATAAGGTTTGTTCTTCCTGTTCCTGAGAAAGGTTGGCCTTTCAAGTCAGACAACCAAATTCATTTGGCATCAAAGTTAAGTGGATGTTGTGTCTACAATGAGTTGGCGGAGCAGACCAAATGGGATGAATAACTTATTTCTACTCCTGCGTCTTATGGTCTTTGCACAGTGCAATCTGGGGCTGGTCTATTCCTTTTGCTTGGTCACTTTGAATGCATTTAAAATGGCTTTGAATGGCTTAAAAGTGCAATTAATTGGCACTGAATTAGTAATCTGGTTCAGAGAGAGCAGCTATACTTGGTGTGGGATCCTCTGATCCATTGGGACAGAGACACATAGTTGAGGCTTAATGTTGCGCTTGCCTCTGCGATGTAGAGTGGAATTGAAACCAGGCATTTTGGCGACAGCGTTGGGGAAATGTTCCATGCTTCCAGAATCATACCTTGCCCTTTGCACAGTTCTCACAAAAAAACCCAAGTTGATTGTAGAGTCATACAACATGGAAACAGGCCCTTTGGTCCAACTCATCCATGCTGACCAGGTATCCTAAACTGAATGAGTCCCTTTTGCCAGTATTTGGCCCATATCCCTCTAAATCCTTCCTATTTTAGTACCAGGGCAAATGTCTTTAAAATGTTTTAATTGTACCAGCCTCTACCTCTGGCAGCTCATTCCATACATGCCCTCTGTATGACAAAGTTGCCTCTCAGTTCCCTTTTAAATCTTTCCCCTCTCACCTTATGCCCTCTAGTTTTGAACCCCCCGACCCGATGTCTTGTACAATTGCAGCATGACGTCCCATATGCCTATACTCTGACCAGTGAAGGCAAGCATACCAAATACCTTGTTCATCACCCTGTTTTCTTTCCCCTGTCTGTGTTGTGATCAGTTTGCTGTTAGTTAGGGGACATTGAGGGCATGAGGATTAACCATCTCACTTCTCTTGTCATTGTCAAGTAGCCAGTATGGAATGGATTAAGACTGAGGTTTTGCCCTGAGTGTAACAATGCCAAGGGCTGATATGTTCCCGACTGAGCTCAGGCAGAAGGGGATAAAAATCTCTACACCTTGCTATCTGGGATAAAAATACTGATTGGTTAACAAGGAGGAGAATGTAGGCCCAGTCCCTATGACACTGTAATTTCTTTTCTTGATTTACAAACTCCTGAAACTCATGGTTTTGCTCCTGGACCTTGGGGGAATATTCAGCAGCAAATTTGTAAGGTTGTTAAGCTAGTCACTAGGTTTGTTACTACGTTGACCTGCAGCAGAAACTGAGATATGGCGGATTGATGTTTAACAGGGAAATCAAGGCCCCAGAGGAAGCAACGGAGATCCTGGGGAGCGAGGTGACGACGTAAGTAACTTCTGTTTCTGTGCTTCTATTCAGCTCACCGAGTAGCCGTGAAGAGGAGAACCTTGGCTCAACGTTGCCTTGTGTTCGTAATCTTCCAGGATTAGAACTGCATGTTGTTTGACTGGTGATATGTAATTGTACTGATCACTGTTGGGCTTTGGAGGGTTGTTAACACCAATGAACCCTATCCTTGGTAATAGGGGATTTAGGGAAGGGTAAGCAGGTGGGTGGAATTGGAAATTTGAAAGCCACCATGCTAAGCATTGAGACCCCATAGTCTTGTTGGTACAGTTTTGACCCACCACATGAGCCGACATAGCCAGAATAAGAGGTAACGATATAAAAATAAACCAAGTTTTAAGCAGGAGTGAGCTCAAGGTCCAAGTGCCTCAGAGTTGGAGCCCTCGGTGGACATCACCGTTCTAAGTCCCTGAAGCTCAGAATGCTGGATTGACATCCAGTCAGGATGACTGTCCAGTCCATTGGATCCATAATGAGGGAGCTGCGTAGGTCTAACTAACCTATGAGCTGGTGTACCAATGCTTACCAGTGAGAGGAATTGTTGGCCGTGAGATCTGTTGTTCACCCTGTGAGTGTTGCTCGACTAGGGAAGAGGGTGTAGATAAACAGGGCAGCAACAACCATCACTGGGCCACTCTTAGCAAGTGCCACCTAACATCCACACACAAACAAGAAGGTCAGTTCTTTCTTCTCTGGTTCCTAACCGCACGATTTACTGTTGTTTTCCTGCGCAGGGACCTCCAGGAGATGATGGAGATGTTGGCGAGGAGGTAATTGTAATTTTTTGTTTTGCATACTTAGCCAGGAGCGCTTTTGACCAAGCGATCAAACCCGTTGTATTTGAGTAATACAACAGAGAACCGCGCAAACACTGCCAGATTTTTGGCTTCCCGTATGCAGGAGTGATTTTTCTTCTTTGTATGTTAAGTCCCTTGCATAATTCAATATCAAATGTTGCACATTCGTTGTGTATTGCCTTGTGTTAGTCGGCAGAGACTCTCTGGAAATCCCTTAATCGACAGGAAGAATAAATCTTCTTCCTCTGAACAGGCAAGTGAAAATGTGAAGGGAATGTATTTGAGATATAGCCAAAGGAGTTTAATTTCCTCTGAGAGCATGCTGGTTGTATATTCGCATAAGTGATAGGAAACAACTGTTTTCTTAAAAGAAATGATAAAAGTGAATCGCTCAGTGTGTTTGCTAATACCCTCTTGTGCTGTCTAACATATGCCTCACTGGATGCAATTTAAGATGGATTAATGGCCATGTTTTTTAGAAGTGTTGCCTGGAGGAATTGAAACATTTCCTTAGGAAACGTTTACTCATAAAACTCCGTTTGGAGAAACGATCCTGTCCGATAGCATCTTCAATGTGTAATCTGCCTCCGCCAATCCCTTCCCATTGCCACCCGAGCATAAACATATATTTGGATAGAGACCAAGGCTTGAAAATGGATATTTCCAGTCAGTTCTGTCAAGACTCTGTTCCATTTGAGGTGAAGTTCTTCCACCCATCTCTCCTAAATTGAGGAAGGGGCAGTGGGGATTGTGTAGGAATAACCTCCCTGGATGCCCCATGAATTCCATCTCCCAGCCACCTCAACTCCAGCAGAATCCAAGCCAGTGCAGACCTAGACCAGCAAAGAGGCTTGTGAAGGTCTCGGGGGGTGGGTGGGGAGGGGGGGGAGCGGTGTCAGTGGTCAGTTCCTGAGGGGAATAGAAAATGTAAGCCTTTCCATGCTCGCTAAAGTCTAATCAAAACCTCCTCACTGCAGATTCAACGATTCATTGTATTAGTACCCAGTTTCTCCGAGGGGTGGCTTGTGCAATCTCCTGAGCAAATCATCTGAGTCAAGTACCCCGATGTATGTCCTAGACTTGTTCAGCGGTGAGATGCTGTAGGAAACAGCTGTGCTAAACGTTCCCTGCCTTGACGTTACTGATGTGTGGATGTACAGTTGACAATGGTCAAGCTGTGCCATCCAAGATGCTTGCCTGAATTGTTCTTGTAACCCACTTCTGCTATTTTCCAGGGTCCTCCCGGTGAATCAGGGCTGCCTGGTCCTCCAGGCCCAAGAGGAGACAGGGGACCTAAGGTAACTAATATTCAGAGAAACCGGGAAGAATTAACAGTAGAGAACGGGGAAGGCCATTTCAGCCACACTGTCACTGAGATTATGGCTGACCTTTCCCTTTGCTGCTATCCCAGCCACCTCCATTAGGCCATTATCTGTCCACCATGTTTCGACTCGTGGATAAATAGCCAAGTGGTGGTGGTGGGGGATGGGGTTTCCATTTTGGTATCTCCAGGAATGTTTGGCCTGGCAGCAATGGACTTTACTCAGCAACGTAGATGCTGAGGAAATGGTTGGTGATGGATGTCACTGTCCCATCCTTTGATCAGAAACGGCCGGCCCTTTCCATTTTCTCGTATTCTTGCGTGGGATGTGGGTATCCCTGGCCAGGCCAAGGTTTGTTGCCTGTCCCTAATTGCCATTGGCTTGCTGAGCTGTTTGAGAGGATGATTTAAGAGTTGGCCATGTTTTCTGTGGCACTTCCCTCCTTGAAGGGCATTGCCAAACTGGATGCGTTTTGACAACAATCGATGATTGATTGGTTTCACCATTGCTGAGATGAACGTGGGCCGAGATTTGTATCCATGTCCCAGGGTGTTAGCTTGAACCGTTGGGTTATCGCAACACGAAACGGAAGCTGCTGGAAAAGTCAGCAAGTCTGGCAGCACCTGTGAAGAAAAAAAAAATCAAGAGTTAACATTTCGGGTCTGGTGACCCTTCCTCAGGTGAGATTACCATCATCTCTGTAACAGAGAAGCCTTTTCGCTCCTGCCTTATCTTTGGAGCTATATCCCCATGTGAAAAGGAATAGCAGAAGGCTCTGAGAGATAGGGAAGGAAATAGAGAGGGGGAGGGTTCAGCACTGATGTAAATTGCAGCAACGTGACATATGTTCCTCCTTGTTTCTCTCTGCAGGGAAATGCCGGACCCGAGGGACAGCAAGGGCATGAGGGTCCTCCCGGAGTTAGTGGCGAACCGGTAAGTATACTCTTGGCTGATGCTGGAACAGAGGGATAATCGGATGGGAGCTTTGCTCGTTTGTCTGTACAGGCAACTCGCGAATGAGCATCACCCTTTCATGTTCTCGCTCCGTGTTAATGTATAGTGAGGAAAATGTAGGCTGTACGCTGACACCGTTGTGTAGATAACTGCCTCAGCACCCAGAGTGCTATCTTTGTTGGTCTGCTGGAACCTAACCCAACCCAGAGGGGAGAAAAAACACGTTAAAAGCCAATAATATATGGAAATGAATGTCCTCATCTACCGTTTTGAAGTGTATAAGATCGGTATGTGTTCTTCACAAGTTTTGTAGAATCACTACTGTGTGGAAGCAGGCCATTCCACCCATCAAGTCCACACCGACTCTCCAAACAGCATCCCATCCAGATCCACCCCCATACCCCAACGCTCTGCATTTCCCATGGCTAATCCACCTATCCTGCACATCCCTGGACACTACGGGCAATTTCCTATGGCCGATCCACCTAACTTGCAACATCTTTCGACTCCGGAGCACCTGGAGGAAACCCACATAGACACAGGGAGCACGTGCAAACTCCACACGGACAGTCGCCCAAGGGTGGGATCGAACCCGGGTCCCTGGCGCTGTGAGGCAGCAGTGCTAATCACTGAGACGGGTGGCCCTTCATTTTATTGGCTCTTCCTTCTGAGGAATGCCTTCCTGTCATGATTCCGAATCCCTGCGGACTCCTGCTGTTTTCCTCAGGGAGATTGATTGGATGGCGTGGCAAAGGGGAGAAGGCTACACTGTAGCCCGGAACGAAAAGCAGGAAGTGCTGGAGAAACTCAGCAGGTCTGCGGAGAGAGGCACAGAGTTAACATTTCAAGTTCGGTGCTCTTCTTCAGGGCTGGGCTCGAAACGTTAGCTATGCTTTCTGTCCTGCTCTCTGCAGATGCTGCCAGACATGCTGAGTTTCTCCAGAGCTCACTGTTTATCATTTCAAATCTCCAGCATCGATCGTTCCTTTATTGTACTGTAGAATTCTGAAACCTGGTGAAGGTGGGAGTAGTCAGTGGTATGTGAACTGCTATTCAAGTCAGCTCTTGCCCAGATGATTTCAAACAGCCTCCAGATTTAACTAGGCCTTGTGCCTCCTTGTCCATGGTGGGGGAGAGATGGGGGTGGAGGGCGAGACGGCACACGCGCACATAAAATGGACCAGGATCCAGACTTGCCCCAGGGTATTCAACGCCACTTCTGTGACTCAGTAAGAATAGATCTCTCCTGTATTTAAATATGATTTACAGCACTGTAGGTGAATAATGACCAGAAACCATAGCAACCAAACCATTCTGGAATTTTGAACAGCATAACGCACACCAGATGCATAAAACTCACTGGGAGCGGATATGCTCAAATGTTGGCCAGACATATTAGCAGGACGTTTTTAATAGAAATTCAAGAAAGCTACTGTAAGACTCAACAGTGTCGCTCAGTGATTATGAGTTGTTAGAAGTGGTAGTGACTTCTGCATTTTAAATTTGCCCACTGTTCCCGATTTTGTTAAAACGCTCATATCTGTGATGTTTAGGAGGCAGTTCTGCCTGTGTAAGTATCTGGTCTGTGTGGAGACAGCTGTGGGCAGTAGTCATTTGAGATGCTGAGATTAGACTCAAGTGTTAGAGAGAGAGAGAGAGAGATGAAAAAAATCATCCGCAATCTCCCCGACTGACCAATTTATTCTCAGGATTTGGGTCATCTTCTGTTCGTCGCCATTAATTATGGACCAGACCAGACAGGACCTCCTCAAAATATTTTAAGAAGGTAGCCTAGATCCTAACCTTTTCTTATTTTAAAAGTAGATGTGAAGTACCTGTTCTCGATGCAATGCAATTAGTCAAACTACTCGACGTTAAGCAAAAACACCATTTATTTAAACACTGTAGTTAAAATAAAACAAAGAAAGAGGAATTTAGAATAATAACTTTAGTGGAAAACTTAACTGAATAATAGATAGGGTAACTATTACTAATTAACTGTTCCAAATAGTAACATCACATAAACACACCCCTTGGCCAAAAGGCAGATTCAGACACAGATTCTCACATTCAGTCTTCCAATCCAGGAGGGAAAAAAACATTGAGAAAATTCAGAGAGAGTAGCAGCCAGGAGACATTCACTGAAGCTTTCAACTCTGTTGAGACCACAATAGCTTCTGAAGCTACTGAAAAACAAAAGCTGAAAAGAAATCCTGATCTCTGAGAGCCGGCTGTTAAACAAAAACCCAACCCAAGGCCTCTCGGAACAACAAGGTGCAGAGCTGGACAACACAGCAGGCCAAGCAGCATCA